AAGAGAGAGTGGAGAGGGGTAGGGACAGAGGGAGAGGGAGAGAGAACCCCAAGCAGACTCCCCGCTGAGCAGGGAGCCCAAGCCCTGAGATTGTGGACAGAATGCTGTATGACAGCCCCAATGTGGCGCTCTATCCCACGACCCTGAGATCACAACATGAGCCGACAATCAAAAGTCAGATGCTTAACCGTTAAGACTGAGCCACCCAGGTGACCTACAACCTATGGTTACTTTTTTAATTTATTTTTTATTAAATTTTTTTTTTTAAGTTTTTATTTACCTTGACAGAGAGAGCACAAGCCGGGGGGGAGCAGTAGGCAGAGGGAGAGGGAGAAGCAGGCTCCTTGCAGAGCAGGGAGCCCGATGTGGGGCTCAATCCCAGGACCCGGGATCATGACCCGAGCTGAAGGCAGTTGTTTCACCAACTGAGCCACCCAGGTGCCCCAACCTGTGGTTATTTTTAAATGGAGATCTTTATTGGGAGAGCTTTGATTTGTAGTATATTTGGGTTTTAAGATTTCCTGTTTAGAAATCATGCTTAGAATATGATTATTCTGTTTATTGTTCTAGAGGAAAGAATGTTTTGGAACCTGATGCCTTTTACCACCAGAGATTTCTCCATCCGGTCCCTGGCCGACCGCTTGGGGGACCTGAATTACCTTATCTACGTGTTTCCTGATCGGCCAAAAGATGAAGTGTACTCCAAATATTACACACCAGTTCCGTGCGAGCCTGCCACTGGTAACAATGTTCGCATTCTGATTTGGTTTTGTTGTGATTTTAGTTTTCTTTTAGTTTTTTGTGTGTATGTGTGTCTTTCTGTCTTGCATGAAAACCTACACAATTAGTATTTAGTATTAGTGTTTGAGCATTATTCAGGGGAGTTGTAAATCCCGGACTGTATTCTTCAGTCACATCTGCTGCTAACCCCAAATATCAAATTGAAGGGAATGAATTGCTTTTATTATTATTTTTTTCAAATTGTTTTTAAAACAAGCTTAGATCAAACAAAAGTAGAAAGATAAAATTTGGGGCACCTGGGTGGTTCAGTTGGTTAAGTGTCTGCCTTTGGCTCAGGTCATGATCTCAGGGTCGTGGGATTGAGCCCCATGTTGGGCTCCCTGCTCAGTGGGGAGTCTGTTTCCCCTCTCCCTCTACTGTTCCCCTGCCTGCTCTCTCTCTCAAATAAATAAATAAAATATTTAAAAAAAAGATAAAATTTGTTTTTCAAAACAGATGGTTTTGTTTTCTGATCATAAAAGTATTCTGTATTAATTGTAAAATTTCCAGAAAAGTATGGAAAAGAAAACAGATATCACATAACATCTCTCATCTATATATTAACCACTGTAAAAAATTCAGTGACTATTGTTCCCATCTGTGTAGGTATGTATCCTTCATTCAGTCACCAGATGCTTGTTAGTACTTCCTGTGTGGAGGTTACAATCTAGTAGCAGAAGGAGGACAACAAACAAATATATTTATTTAGTGATGGATGCTATGAAGACAAGAAAGCATGGTAAAGAGAGAGAGATGGGACAGGGAGGAGGCTAGGGGTGGCATTTCAATAGAGTGGTCAGACAAGGTCTCTCCGAGGAGTTGCTATCAGCACAGAGCTGAATGAAGTAAGGAGGCTAACCACACAAAGATCTAGACAAAAAACCCTCTAGACTGAGAGAAGTGTAAAAACCCTGAGGTAGGAGTGAGGTTGGTGTGTTTGAAAGACTCCACGAGGGCCCAGGAGGCTAGAGCTGAATGGGCCGGAAAGAGGGTGTAGGAGGTGATGGCTGAGCAATAGGGAGGGCAGATGGTGTCAGGCTCGGAGTCCAGTAAATGTTTTGGGTCATAGCATATATCATCTTTTGTGATCTGATTTTTTTCCCCCACTTAAAAATGTACCATAGGCAGAGTTGCAGGTCTGTAAATATAATCTTACAGCATCACTTTACCGATTGCATAGAATTCCATTGTATGATGCTTTGATGTCAGTTATTTGAGAGACTTACAATTTAGGTTATTCACCATTTTCTGTTGTGAATTAATGTCAAGATAACCTGGGGCACCTTGTTGGCTCATTCATTAGAGCATACAACTCTTGATCTCAAGATCATGAGTTCAAGCCCCACATTGGGGGTAGCTTACTAAATACATACATACATACATACATACATACATACGTACATAAACAAACTAACTAACTGAGATAACCTGGTGCATGCATCCTGTTCAACTATTTCCCTAGGATAAACTCCTAAAGTAGAATTTGTGTCAAAGGGTATATATACCTTTTAAGCTTCTTGACACACATTTACAGAATCGGTAATATGTTCTCACTCCCACAGATGTCTGTTGGAGTACCTGCTCCTCCACCCCCCTGCCAATCATAGATTCTGCTCACTGATTTAATGCTTGCCGATCTGATTGGCATAAAAATGTCTTAGTTCTTATTTTCATTTCTTTGATTCTAGGTAAGATCACAACATCTTTTCATAATAATAATAGTAGTAACTAGAGTAATAATAGCAGCTAACATTTTCTGAGTGCTTACTGTGTGCTGGGCACTTTTCTAAGCACATTTCACATACTGTCTCATTTAATCCTCAAAACAGGTATGCAAGGTAGGTCCTGTGACTCTCCTCACTTTACATATGAGGATTTGAGGCAAAGAAAAGTGAAATAATTTCCCAAAGTCCACACAGCTAGGAAGTGACCAAACCAGGGTTTGAGCTCAAACAGTCTAAGCTCCAGAGTCTGAATTTCTTAACTTCCATATTACTGGCTGTTTATATTTTTTCTGTGAAGTGTGTTTATATTCCCTGTTCATTTTTCTTTTAGAGTTCTGTTTTTTCCTAATGATGTCTAAGTATTTTTACGTAGTAAATAAACCTTTTATTATATATAGCAAACATTTTTCTCAGTATGTCATTGTTCTCCTAGCACTGAAGTTTTATTTTGCTAAAGTACAAAACTTGTATTTTCTATACAGCCCAATCCATCAACCTTTTTCCTTTATAGTGTATTATTTCGTATCATGCCTTCCCACCCTGCAATGATAGTTATATTTCCAAGTGGCAAAATAAACCAGAAGTTTTTAGATTTATGTGGTATTTTGTTTTTTAAAATATTTATTTATTTTATGTGAGGGAGTAGAGGAGAGAGGAGCAGAGGGAGAGGGAGAGAGAGACTCTTGAGCAGACTCCCCACTGAGTGTGGAGCCTGACTTGGGGCTCGATCCCACGACCCTATGACCATGACCTGAGCTGAAATCAAAAGTTGGACACTTAACTGACTGAGCCACCCAGGCGCCCCTAGATTTATGTGGTACTTTGGATTAAACCTGACATTGTTTCTTTTTGTTAGCACAGCTAATCTAGATTTTTAAATCCTATTTTTTATAGCATTTCTTTCGTTTTTATCTTTTCTGCCAATCCATAAAATTCTCTATAAACTATAAAGCACAAAAAGCATGAAGTATTATAAAAAGGTAGCTCCTGATATTTGAAGCCTTAGAAGAAGCTGGTTAGGATAACAAGCAACTTGTGAACCATGTAGCATTTCACTATCTTGGACTGTATCACTGACAAGCTCTTCATCCTCTTGACCTTAGTGTCATCTTCATTGTCTAACATTGTTAGGGCTATACGTATTCCCATACTCATATAGCCAAGAAACAAGACTTCATTCAATGACTTCAGGCTCACTTAACTGGATTTCCACAGTCAGTCTTTTAAAAAGGTAACTACGGCTGACCAGACTACTCTCGGGTTTATCCCCTGACCTCCCACATCCCAGTGGGGACTCGTCGGAGGGTGGAAGAGAGACACACCAGCATTCTTCTTAACCAGCCACGGGGCATGGACAATACAGGATGAGTGATCATCAGATTACCCCCAAATGCAGAAACCGCAGGGAAACAAAAGAGCACACAGATATTTGAATGATACTCCCTTTCCTAAAAGAGGAGATACTCAAGAGTCAGAGTGACTCCAGGGACCATTAAGTCAAATTCATTCCTCTCTTTGATTTCTCAGTACAACCCCCTGACAAGTGTTTGTACACCTTCCGCTTAAAGGTCTCCAGTGATGGGAAATCAGTTCTTCCCAAGACAGCCCATTTCTTTTGTGGGCAGTTCTAATTATGACAACATTCTTCTTTCTATGATTGAAAATTTGTGGGGCGCCTGGGTGGCTCAGTCATTAAGCGTCTGCCTTCGGCTCAAGTCATGATCCCAGGGTTCTGGGATCGAGCCCCACATCTGGCTCCCTGCTCAGTGAGGAGTCTGCTTCTCCTTTTCCCTCTGCTGCTCTCTCTCAAAATCTTAGAAGACACTCCACTATATACCCTTCTGTGCTTTTAAATTTTATATTATGTGAAGCAATTGCCTATTCCAAAAATAAATTTTTGTAGTAATGAAAAAATAAAATGAAGTACTGTGGCTGATTGGGATGAAAAACAGTTTATTAAAAATTCATATTGTAACCTGTTTCTCAATAACAAGTGGTCCAATTCAGTTTCCATTCTTCCACATGACATTTTTTTCACATTGAGCTGGAGTTCAAGGATCACACTTAATGCACACACATGCATGAGTGCACACACAATTCTCTCTGCCTGCAGCTAGAGACCCAGTCTTTCAGATTCCCGTTCCCCTGAGCTTACAGTGTAAGAGCCAGACCTTGGTCATGTTCTGTTTCTATGGCTCTTAGAATGTAGGATTAGACTGGAGGTTCAGCAGTTCACTTACAGAACACCATCGATAGCGCGAGGGTACCTTCTAAGTTGCGTGTGAAGAAGGTAAAATGGAACCTTCTCAATTTCACAGACCTGCCTGTTTCAAAAAAGTTAAAATTTATCCTCAGGCTCAGCAAGACAAATGTTTGTAACTGCATTGAGCCATCAGTGTTTTCATTTTGTGGGTTGAGTGAATATAAATCATGCAACTGTTTTCTCCTAAGATTCTGGCTTTTCTCCGTCTCAGGGCAGGGTGCCGTTCGCCGTGCCTGACAAAGTGCTGTGGTCTCAGCTGTGTGAGGCGCTCAACATGAAATTCAAGGCCGAAGTGCAGAGCACCCGGGGCCTGACCAAGGAGAACCTCGTGTTCCTGGCACAGAAGCTGTTCAACAACAGCAGTGGGCACCTTGAAGACTATAGTGGCATGTCCGTGTCCTGGTCCCAGTTCAACAGGGTGAGGGACCCGCCACCAGCTGCCCTTAGCTCAGTCCCTCCAAACGGGATGCCTTCCAGAGACTTCCTGCCCTGGGCATTTGTTCTTCATGACTCTAATAAAATGTGCCCAAAGTAATAGAAAGCTCCTGAATAGATGGATAGGCGCATACTTCTTATGTAGAAAATTAGGTCTTTGAATATTTAAGTGAACTGGGCTTTGTGTGCAACTAGTGCATTTTTTTTCCTTTATAAAGGAAACAGAGCAAAGCAAATGATAACCTATTTCACAAGACGTAAAGCTTTTGTGATCAGAAGTCCATGGCTCTTTCCCATGGACTCTCTGATGCTCCCTGCTGTGTAATCCTGCAGGGCCAGGCTACCATGGGACCCTCAGCCCACAAAAGGGAATGCTGACAGAGGAAACCTCTCCTCCAGCATCGGGTAATTGAGATGTCACCCCGTCACATCTCTGACTTTAAACCCAACTTTGTGTACACCTCCATCCCCAGGTGTTTTAAATGCCCTAATTCAAAAACAGCCAAGAATGAGTCAGCCCAGATCCAGGTAAAGGTGTTTGTAGCAGGGGCCACTGGGTTTGGCAATTGCTCTGTTGTATTTTTCTCCTCTTCTCTCTTCCTCCCTCTTCAGTTTTTTGACTGTAGGCCCATTTGGTAAACTCGGACAAGCATGTGTATTTGTATGATTCTGACAGTGTAGATGTTTGTTTTCCATTTAATTTTTTTCAGTTTAAGTATATGCAGGCAATATTCCAGGTGTTACTCTTGGCGTTCTTGTGTTCACTGTTCTATCTCCAACCAGGAGAATTTACCAGGACGAAATTACACGTTCTGGCAGTGGTTCGATGGTGTGATGGAAGTGTTAAAAAAACATCTCAAGCCTCATTGGAATGATGGGTGAGAATTGTCATTTCCTAAGTCAGCAATAGAGTATGAAGCTCTTTTTTCCGCTGTTAAGACATCACATCTGTTTCTCCTTCTTTGGCCTTTGTGATCCAGGGCTATTTTGGGTTTCGTGAACAAGCAACAGGCCCATGACCTACTCATTAACAAGCCTGATGGGACCTTCCTGCTGAGATTCAGCGACTCTGAAATTGGCGGCATCACCATTGCTTGGAAGTTTGATTCTCGTAAGTTCCCTCCCTTTTTAGAACATATCTTGGGGTGCCTGGGTGGCTCAGATGGTTATGCATTTGCCTTTGGCTCAGGTCATGATCTCTGGGTCCTGGGATCAAGCTCTGCATCAGGCTCCTGGCTCAGCAGGGAGTCTGCTTCTCCCTCTCCCTCTACCCACCCCCTCCCTGTCTCAAATGAATAAATAAAAAATCTTTAAAATATGTATATATACTGGTTATAGTTAGCTGCTTTTGTTGTGAAATTGCTTCAACAAATGACTTATTGAGCACTTATGGGGTCAGTTCTGATGAAGGGCACACAAATGGATCACCATGACGCAGCTGGGGCTGATAAGGCAGCCTGTGTAAAATCATATCATGGGAAACACAGTCACTAATTCTGAGAAATAAACGTGTAACCCTGAAGTGGCTATCATACAGCATTCTGTCCACAATCTCAGCTGCTTCCCTTTTGAAATGTCCACCTTCTTATTACTGAACCGTGAACTTATTTCAGTGAAGAATTACTTGGATGAGTTGGGAATCATTAGACTGGAAGTAATATGCTATTTTAATTATTCCTTTATCCTAATCAACGTAAAGGCATGGCCACTGATTATTTCCACCCAAGAACAGTTCTTTCCTCTGATCCTCACAATAAGATAAGAGTAGCTTGCTAGTTTTTTTGCAACTTAAAGATACTAACAGTTTTTCATAGCTCTCACGCATCCTCTGTGTGACATGGACATGCTTCCTGGCTCTCATATACTTTTGTACAGGGATCAAGGATTGGGGTCAATAAGAACTATTTCTTCTACAGAGGGACTAAAAACCATTTGAACTTGAAACTACCTGAGATCATTGGATCTCTAGGGAAGTGCTATATGCATTACCTGCTTATCTCCCCATGGCTTTTATAAACGACTTGAGCTACAACCTGTGGTAATTCGGTCATTTTTTTTTTTTAAGATTTATTCACGTATTGGGGCGCCTGGGTGGCTCAATTGGTTAAGCGGCTGCCTTCAGCTCAGGTCATGATCCTGGAGTCCCGGGCATCGAGTTCTGCGAGTTCCGCATCCGGCTCCCTGCTCAGCGGGGAGTCTGCTTCTCCCTCTGACCCTCCCCCCTTCTCATGCATGCTCTCTCTCTCTCTCTCAAATAAATAAAATCTTTAAAAAAAAAAAAGATTTATTCACGTATTTAAGAGAGAGTGGAGAGGGGTAGGGACAGAGGGAGAGGGAGAGAGAACCCCAAGCAGACTCCCCGCTGAGCAGGGAGCCCAAGCCCTGAGATTGTGGACAGAATGCTGTATGACAGCCCCAATGTGGCGCTCTATCCCACGACCCTGAGATCACAACATGAGCCGACAATCAAAAGTCAGATGCTTAACCGTTAAGACTGAGCCACCCAGGTGACCTACAACCTATGGTTACTTTTTTAATTTATTTTTTATTAAATTTTTTTTTTTAAGTTTTTATTTACCTTGACAGAGAGAGCACAAGCCGGGGGGGAGCAGTAGGCAGAGGGAGAGGGAGAAGCAGGCTCCTTGCAGAGCAGGGAGCCCGATGTGGGGCTCAATCCCAGGACCCGGGATCATGACCCGAGCTGAAGGCAGTTGTTTCACCAACTGAGCCACCCAGGTGCCCCAACCTGTGGTTATTTTTAAATGGAGATCTTTATTGGGAGAGCTTTGATTTGTAGTATATTTGGGTTTTAAGATTTCCTGTTTAGAAATCATGCTTAGAATATGATTATTCTGTTTATTGTTCTAGAGGAAAGAATGTTTTGGAACCTGATGCCTTTTACCACCAGAGATTTCTCCATCCGGTCCCTGGCCGACCGCTTGGGGGACCTGAATTACCTTATCTACGTGTTTCCTGATCGGCCAAAAGATGAAGTGTACTCCAAATATTACACACCAGTTCCGTGCGAGCCTGCCACTGGTAACAATGTTCGCATTCTGATTTGGTTTTGTTGTGATTTTAGTTTTCTTTTAGTTTTTTGTGTGTATGTGTGTCTTTCTGTCTTGCATGAAAACCTACACAATTAGTATTTAGTATTAGTGTTTGAGCATTATTCAGGGGAGTTGTAAATCCCGGACTGTATTCTTCAGTCACATCTGCTGCTAACCCCAAATATCAAATTGAAGGGAATGAATTGCTTTTATTATTATTTTTTTCAAATTGTTTTTAAAACAAGCTTAGATCAAACAAAAGTAGAAAGATAAAATTTGGGGCACCTGGGTGGTTCAGTTGGTTAAGTGTCTGCCTTTGGCTCAGGTCATGATCTCAGGGTCGTGGGATTGAGCCCCATGTTGGGCTCCCTGCTCAGTGGGGAGTCTGTTTCCCCTCTCCCTCTACTGTTCCCCTGCCTGCTCTCTCTCTCAAATAAATAAATAAAATATTTAAAAAAAAGATAAAATTTGTTTTTCAAAACAGATGGTTTTGTTTTCTGATCATAAAAGTATTCTGTATTAATTGTAAAATTTCCAGAAAAGTATGGAAAAGAAAACAGATATCACATAACATCTCTCATCTATATATTAACCACTGTAAAAAATTCAGTGACTATTGTTCCCATCTGTGTAGGTATGTATCCTTCATTCAGTCACCAGATGCTTGTTAGTACTTCCTGTGTGGAGGTTACAATCTAGTAGCAGAAGGAGGACAACAAACAAATATATTTATTTAGTGATGGATGCTATGAAGACAAGAAAGCATGGTAAAGAGAGAGAGATGGGACAGGGAGGAGGCTAGGGGTGGCATTTCAATAGAGTGGTCAGACAAGGTCTCTCCGAGGAGTTGCTATCAGCACAGAGCTGAATGAAGTAAGGAGGCTAACCACACAAAGATCTAGACAAAAAACCCTCTAGACTGAGAGAAGTGTAAAAACCCTGAGGTAGGAGTGAGGTTGGTGTGTTTGAAAGACTCCACGAGGGCCCAGGAGGCTAGAGCTGAATGGGCCGGAAAGAGGGTGTAGGAGGTGATGGCTGAGCAATAGGGAGGGCAGATGGTGTCAGGCTCGGAGTCCAGTAAATGTTTTGGGTCATAGCATATATCATCTTTTGTGATCTGATTTTTTTCCCCCACTTAAAAATGTACCATAGGTAGAGTTGCAGGTCTGTAAATATAATCTTACAGCATCACTTTACCGATTGCATAGAATTCCATTGTATGATGCTTTGATGTCAGTTATTTGAGAGACTTACAATTTAGGTTATTCACCATTTTCTGTTGTGAATTAATGTCAAGATAACCTGGGGCACCTTGTTGGCTCATTCATTAGAGCATACAACTCTTGATCTCAAGATCATGAGTTCAAGCCCCACATTGGGGGTAGCTTACTAAATACATACATACATACATACATACATACATACGTACATAAACAAACTAACTAACTGAGATAACCTGGTGCATGCATCCTGTTCAACTATTTCCCTAGGATAAACTCCTAAAGTAGAATTTGTGTCAAAGGGTATATATACCTTTTAAGCTTCTTGACACACATTTACAGAATCGGTAATATGTTCTCACTCCCACAGATGTCTGTTGGAGTACCTGCTCCTCCACCCCCCTGCCAATCATAGATTCTGCTCACTGATTTAATGCTTGCCGATCTGATTGGCATAAAAATGTCTTAGTTCTTATTTTCATTTCTTTGATTCTAGGTAAGATCACAACATCTTTTCATAATAATAATAGTAGTAACTAGAGTAATAATAGCAGCTAACATTTTCTGAGTGCTTACTGTGTGCTGGGCACTTTTCTAAGCACATTTCACATACTGTCTCATTTAATCCTCAAAACAGGTATGCAAGGTAGGTCCTGTGACTCTCCTCACTTTACATATGAGGATTTGAGGCAAAGAAAAGTGAAATAATTTCCCAAAGTCCACACAGCTAGGAAGTGACCAAACCAGGGTTTGAGCTCAAACAGTCTAAGCTCCAGAGTCTGAATTTCTTAACTTCCATATTACTGGCTGTTTATATTTTTTCTGTGAAGTGTGTTTATATTCCCTGTTCATTTTTCTTTTAGAGTTCTGTTTTTTCCTAATGATGTCTAAGTATTTTTACGTAGTAAATAAACCTTTTATTATATATAGCAAACATTTTTCTCAGTATGTCATTGTTCTCCTAGCACTGAAGTTTTATTTTGCTAAAGTACAAAACTTGTATTTTCTATACAGCCCAATCCATCAACCTTTTTCCTTTATAGTGTATTATTTCGTATCATGCCTTCCCACCCTGCAATGATAGTTATATTTCCAAGTGGCAAAATAAACCAGAAGTTTTTAGATTTATGTGGTATTTTGTTTTTTAAAATATTTATTTATTTTATGTGAGGGAGTAGAGGAGAGAGGAGCAGAGGGAGAGGGAGAGAGAGACTCTTGAGCAGACTCCCCACTGAGTGTGGAGCCTGACTTGGGGCTCGATCCCACGACCCTATGACCATGACCTGAGCTGAAATCAAAAGTTGGACACTTAACTGACTGAGCCACCCAGGCGCCCCTAGATTTATGTGGTACTTTGGATTAAACCTGACATTGTTTCTTTTTGTTAGCACAGCTAATCTAGATTTTTAAATCCTATTTTTTATAGCATTTCTTTCGTTTTTATCTTTTCTGCCAATCCATAAAATTCTCTATAAACTATAAAGCACAAAAAGCATGAAGTATTATAAAAAGGTAGCTCCTGATATTTGAAGCCTTAGAAGAAGCTGGTTAGGATAACAAGCAACTTGTGAACCATGTAGCATTTCACTATCTTGGACTGTATCACTGACAAGCTCTTCATCCTCTTGACCTTAGTGTCATCTTCATTGTCTAACATTGTTAGGGCTATACGTATTCCCATACTCATATAGCCAAGAAACAAGACTTCATTCAATGACTTCAGGCTCACTTAACTGGATTTCCACAGTCAGTCTTTTAAAAAGGTAACTACGGCTGACCAGACTACTCTCGGGTTTATCCCCTGACCTCCCACATCCCAGTGGGGACTCGTCGGAGGGTGGAAGAGAGACACACCAGCATTCTTCTTAACCAGCCACGGGGCATGGACAATACAGGATGAGTGATCATCAGATTACCCCCAAATGCAGAAACCGCAGGGAAACAAAAGAGCACACAGATATTTGAATGATACTCCCTTTCCTAAAAGAGGAGATACTCAAGAGTCAGAGTGACTCCAGGGACCATTAAGTCAAATTCATTCCTCTCTTTGATTTCTCAGTACAACCCCCTGACAAGTGTTTGTACACCTTCCGCTTAAAGGTCTCCAGTGATGGGAAATCAGTTCTTCCCAAGACAGCCCATTTCTTTTGTGGGCAGTTCTAATTATGACAACATTCTTCTTTCTATGATTGAAAATTTGTGGGGCGCCTGGGTGGCTCAGTCATTAAGCGTCTGCCTTCGGCTGAGGTCATGATCCCGGGGTCCTGGGATCGAGCCCCACATCGGGCTCCCTGCTCAGGCGGGAAGCCTGCTTCTCCCTCTCCAACTCCCTCTGCTTGTGTTCCTGCTCTCACTATCTCTCTCTCTCTGTCAAATAAATAAATAAAATCTTAAAAAAAAAAAATTTGTCATCTTCTCTCCTCCTAATTTTTTCCCTGGGACACAAAGCAAATCCTGCCACTCTGCTGCATCTCTAGCTTTAAACCTTTAAGATACTTTTTCTTTTTATACTTACTGTACAATTAATACTTGGTTTAGATTTGTACTGAAGTATATGTTTTCTATGGCTTGAAGAATTTATTAACACATCCAAGCCATCTCAGAAGATACTTTAACTTACAGTTTTAGTATTGAGACTTCTCCTAGACCAGGTTCTCCTAACAGATTAAAATATTAAGTGCTTGTATCAGATCCTAAGATAAAATTAGGTGGTTGTGTCCTATCCTGAGAAAAGATGTAATTCTTTTTTTTTTTTTTTAAAGATTTTATTTATTTATTTGACAGAGACACAGCTAGAGAGGGAACACAGCAGGGGGAGTGGGAGAGGGAGAAGCAGGCCTCCCGCCGAGCAGAGAGCCCGATGTGGGGCTCGATCCCAGGACTCTGGGATCATGACCTGAGCCGAAGGCAGACGCCCAATGACTGAGCCACCCAGGCGCCCTGAGAAAAGATGTAATTCTTAAGGGAGATTGTATTTTTATTTCATTGAGAACTTTGGTTCTCATCACCGTTCCCCCCTCGGCAGCTAAAGCGGTGGACGGATACGTGAAGCCACAGATCAAACAAGTGGTCCCTGAGTAAGTACCCAGGGTCCAGCTCTGGTCTCCTGCTGCCTCCTTTCTCTTCCCTCGGCCCCCCTCACCCCTCATCGCTGCTCCTCCCACTCACAGACCCTGTGTGGCCCAGCCCGCCCTTCCGCCTTGAAGCCTGGCTCAGCCCTGGAGAGGGAACTGGGCTTAGTCTCAATGGGACCAGGACCCAGGGCCCCACTCCTGCAGCTGGAGTCCCAGGCCCAGTGAGCACTTTGTCCTTCCATACCTCAAAAAAGGTGTAAAAATGCCCCCCCGCCCCAAGTCAGCTGCTGCCCGGAGGCCACTGAGGCTCTGCTGTGTTTCTCCTGCAGGTTTGTGAGTGCGTCTGCAGACTCTGCCGGGGCCAGCGCCACCTACATGGACCAGGCCCCCTCCCCAGCCGTGTGCCCCCAGGCTCATTATAACATGTACCCCCAGAAGTAGGTTGTGTTCTCATGGGGCTCCGCGGGGAGAAAGTGGGCACCTGGCCTCAGGCTGGGCCCCGGGAGGGCTGGTGGGCAAAGGGACCCAGAGCTCCTGTAGGTCTGAGACCACCCAAGCTGGGCTCCGGCATGTGCCCAGGTGGGAGATAGATTCAGCCAGAAGATATTGGTAGTTTAGAGTGGATTTGGGCAAATGTCATCTAGTCCCCTCTCCCAAAATGGAGATTTTTCTTGTTCTGTATAAAGATCAGATGGGCTTTAGATGTGTGGACAGCCAGAGTTAGGGGCAACTGGGGTGGGTATTCTAGTTTGAGGCACTCTGTCCTGATAGCAAAGGACTCTGCTCTCCACTGTTTAGATCATGAGTGTCTTTTCCCACGAAGCCTAGGCAGAGGGTATAGGCAGTCTTGGGCCATGCACCTGGTGGGGTTTGGGCCTTGGGCTGGTCTTTGCTCCTCATCATTGGGCCTCTGACAACCTTTCCCTTCCCTTCATCTTTTCTCTTTTCCCTCGAAGCCCTGACCCTGTCCTGGACAACGATGGGGACTTTGATCTGGACGACACCATGGATGTGGCGCGGCGTGTGGAGGAGCTCTTGGGCCGGCCTATGGACAGTCAGTGGATCCCTCACGCGCAGTCGTGACCCCCGTCTCCATCTTCAGCCTCTTCATCCTCGCCGGAGGACTTACTCTTGTGGATGTTTTAATTCCATGAATCGCTTCTCTTTGGAAACAATAGTTATAATGTGAAGTGTTAATACTAGTTGTGACTTTAGTGTTTCTATGCATGGTGGCACCAGTGAAGGGAGTGTGTGTGTGAGTGTGTGTGTGTGAGTGCGTGTGCACACGCGAGTGTGTGAGTTTACACATGGGGCTGTTTCTCTCCCTTGCTGTGCAAAGTTTATTCGCAGCATTGGGGCCACAAACAGAGGCTGTGGTTGTTTTAACCTTGTGAAAAAAGGCTGTAGTTCCATGAACCCTGGAACTTGGCCATGTGTCTGTTCAAGTAAGAGAAGGACAAAGGGAGGAGAAAGCACCTCCGCTCTGTGAGATTTGTCACTGTGTCTGCCAAGCAGTTGATATATAACCGTGACTGTCTCTGCTTTCCTTTGAATTGTAGAAACTGCCTTTTGAAAAAGAAAGCCGTCCTCCCACCTTTCCCTCTCCCCCACCCCTGTTTTCCTGGGTAGGGATGGGTAAAGGGGGAATGTCTGGTCATTGTTGGGACAAGGGAAGTCATAGGTTGTCCGATGGGTAGTGGCTTTTTAAATAACACTTAACCCATCTAACCCATCTACATGTTCTCTCCCTCACCCCTCCTTCCTTCCGCTCTGTGGAATTGCCACTCAGCTCTATGTGTGTAAACACGTGCAGACACGTTTGATGAACTAGAGAAAAGAGGGTCACATAACCGCAGCTTACTGTGTTGATGTCCTTTGTATCATGGCCAGAGTGGAAGGCCCAGCCATGACCCATGGGTGCTGAGGAAGTTGCCTTGCTCCCTGGGGCACCTGCCCTCTGGGCTGCCCATCCTTCTGCCCAAGTGCGGCTACCCCAAGGCTCATCGATGACGGCTGTTTGCACATGGTGGTGTTTTGTTTCTAAATTGAGACTTCTTGTTTTCCTCTTCCCACCCTCATCTGACATCACAATTCTTTCTTCCCGTGGCAGGTCCTGTGTTGTTCATACCCAAGTCACCTCGTTTCCCTTCACTGTTCACACGGGCTGTCTTGGGGAGGGGGTGGCAGGAACGCAGTCTGAACCCAGGGCCAGCATGTTCCATGAGGTCATTGCCCACTTGGTATGGGCTGCCGGGTGTCGGGCATTGGTCATCTGGGGAAATGCAGTCAGTGGGTTTCCTGGGAAGTTTGGTAAGCTGCAAAAACAAAACAAAACAGCTTCAACATAACGTCCACAATTTCTTCCGTAGCTTTACATCAGATGGAAGGAATGGGCTATGGCAGTCAGGTGGGAAGAGGGGTAGCAGATAATAGTTTTTGGGGTAGGCCTACAAGCCACTCAGCCCTGGCCCCCCTCTCCAACAGTGACTGCACCCAAGAGAGAATGGCCCTAAAAACCTTATTTTTATACATGTGAGTAAATAAACAGATATTTTTTTTACAAAAATGACTTCCGAATTTATCAGTGCTTTGATGTTAAAGGAAAATATTCCTCTGTAGTAAATTATTTATTGGAAGATGACTTTTTAAAAGCTGCTGTTTGCCCTGGCTCGGTTTCATACACTGATTTATTTTTCTATGCCAGGCAGTAGAATCTCTCTGCCTCTGAGGAGCAGGCCGACCCCTCCATGATACCAGCATTGACATAGGATGCGGCTAAGCCCTTTAAGCCCTAAGCCCTCAAGATTTGATTAAAATTCCCCCCGTGAGGATCAGAGCAGTGGGGAAAGGGGAAAAGGAAGCCAGACTGCTCTCGGACCCTTACCTGCCCGCCCCTCGGGCTTCACGACGCTGGCCTGTGAGTGCAGTGCTGGGAGTTCAGCAGCCCTGATGGGCGGGGACTGCTACACCATCAGCCCCGTAGCAGAGCTTGCCCTTTACAGTTAGCACTGGGGTTGCGGGTACTGAGAAGTGTGGCTGCCCTGAGTGTAGGGGTCCCACGCTTGTACAGTTGCTGAGCTGTCCTCAGTTTCCCTGAGGCTGTGCCTATAGATGGGAGAGATTTTTGATTGAAAGGTGTGCTCGCTATCTGCGTTGTATTTTCTCTTTTCTCCCTGTTCCTGCAAACCACAAAAGAGGCAGTGGCAAGTCTTGACCACCTGCCTCTCACTTGCTCCCAGACACACACACACACACACATACACACACATACACATAACACACGTCATCAAAACTTTTCAATGTGTGGTATGTGCAGGGTTTTGTAGGGGGGTGGGGAGACTAAAAGTGAATATAACAAAGTGGAAGTATACTTTTTATAATTTTTCTTTTTAAAACTTTGTGAAATTATTTCAGATACATATTTTAGTGTTGAGGCAGATTAGTATATAGCCACCAAAAAAGTATTGTGTACAATTTGGGGCAGTCACGAAATTGTGTATTTTATGTTACAATAAAGGCTTCCTCTGAAGGGACAATACTGAGTTCTGGTTTTTTTTTCCATCAGGTGGTGAGAGAAGGTAGTTTTGATAGGGAAATATTTGAAATCATCAGTGTGACTGTGAAAAGCAGAACTGGTTGGGAATTGGCCTCAGAGAGAGTGTCTTCAGCTTTGACAGCAGAAGGGGCATTTCTGACCTTCCTGTTCATAAGATGTTTTAAAAATTAGAATGATAGGGGCGCCTGGGTGGCTCAGTTGGTTAAGTGACTGCCTTCGGCTCAGGTCATGATCCTGGAGTCCCAGGATCGAGTCCCGCATCGGGCTCCCTGCTCGGCAGGGAGTCTGCTTCTCCCTCTGACCCTCTTCCCTCTCGTGCTCTCTCTCTCTCTCATTCTCTCTCTCAAATAAATAAATAAAATCTTTAAAAAAAAAAAAATTAGAATGATAGTCTGTATCTCCTGCCTCCTGATTCCACACTCTTCCCATTAGAAAGCTGATCCCTGGGGCACCTGGGTGGCTCAGTCGGTTAAGCGTCTGCCTTCGACTTAGGCCATGATCCCAGGGTCCTGGCGTTGGGCTCCCTGCTCAGTGGGGAGCCAGCTTCTCCCTCTCCCTCTCCCCCTGCACGTGCTCTCTCTGTCTCAAATGAATAAATAAAATCTTTAAAAAGAAAAAGTTCATCCTTAAACTTGAGCATATTTCAAGTGCCCACCCTGCGCCTGGGCATGGTATGTGGGACAAGAAATCGTTCTGCCCTCAAGAGGATTATGGCTGGGGAAAGAGCCACACAAGCAATCATGATAGGATATTGGCTCATGCTGCAATAAAGTTATCCTGAGGCCATTACTGAATACAAGAGAACATGGAGGAAGGGCACCAATTAGCTTGAGCTGACTCCTAAAGAACACACAGGAATTAAGGAGAGGCATTCTGCCAGAGAGACCAGCGCGAGCCGCAGCTGGGGATGAAGGAGGGTGGGATATGGCTGGATAGAGGGTGATTTGTGGTTCTCAGCCCAGGCGTGCATCAGAATCTTTAGGGGGACTGATTAAAGCACAGATGGCTGAGCTGCACTCCAGAGTTTCCCAGTCAGTAGGCCTGGGGTGGAGCCTGAGAATTTGCATTTCTAACAAGTTCCCAGGAGGTGTGAGGGCAAGGACCACACTTTGAGAACTGTGGTGGGTGATGAAGCCTAGTGCACCAGGCTAAGGGTTTAAACTTCACACGAACATGATGGAAGTGAAGCAATCTTACCAGACTTTAAGCAAGGGAATGACCAGAGTTTCATTTTAGGAAATCCTACCGTGACAGTTGTAGGACGGATTGGAGGGAGGCAAAGGAGGAAGCCAGGAATGGTGGGGGGTGGCGGGGGGCCTGTTTCAACAGTCTGAGTCGGAGGAGATGAGGTTCTACAGATGAGGATACCACAGCAGTGGCCCTGAGGCCTAATATGCAGACATAGTGGCTAATGTTGGACAGGACTGGAGTCTAGAATAATTCCAGGTTTCTGGCTCGGGAAGTAATTGATAGAGATGCTCCTCAGTAAGATGAGAAGGGGAAGATGTGGAAGAAGAGCAAGTTGAGAGGAAGGTTGGGTGCAAATCAGGTAAGTTGGAATGTCCAAGGAGACGTGTGGTTGTGAAGCCTAAGAATGATCAGGGCTGGAGCGCCTGGGGGGTTAAGCGTCCAACTCTTGATTTTGGCTCACATCATGATCTCTGGGTCATGAGATCAAGCCCTGTGTTGGGCTCTGGGTAGAGCCTGCTTGAGATTCTCTCTGCCTCTGCCCCCCACCCCCCGCTCATGCTCTCTCTCTCACTCTCAAATAAATAATTTTTTTTTAAAAGATTTTATTTAGTTATTTGACAGAGAGAGATAGCAAGAGCCGGAACACAAGCAGGGGGAGTGGGAGAGGGAGCCCGATGCGGGGCTCGATCCCAGGACCCTGGGATCATGACCCGAGCCAAAGGCAGACGCTTAATGACTGAGCCACCCAGGCGCCCCAATAAATAAATATTTTTAAGTATCTTAGAAGAGATGATCAGGGCTAAGGGATGTGTACGGATGAGGGGAGGGGGGCATGACAGAGGCAGGCTGTAAAACAGAACTTTGAATCCTTCAAGGAACTGACTTCATTTGCAAAAGAAGTTCAAGCTTAAGGGTATTCTCAAAAAGTAGGGTGTCATGAAAGGCAAATGGCAGGAGAACAATAGCTTCATCGGAGATAGAGCCTGAATGGGCTCTATCTAGTGTGCTACAGAGAGATGGGGAAAGAGACAGCTGGGAGGAGCTCTCTTGGGGTCAGGACAAATCTCAAACACTGGCCATGAAACTGTCCCTTCAAAGAACCCTGAATTTGATTGGATCAGTTTGTGGAGCAATTTACTCCCCAAAGCATTGTTGAAAAATAGATAGCAATCAGCTAACACTGTGAGTAGCTTAACAGCTGGGTGTGGTCAGGGAAAGAGACAGATCTATGAAAATCACTGTCATGCTAGGGTGACTGTGGGCATACTCAAGTCTGTATCCCCTTACTGAGCAATATCAGGCTTCACACTATGTATGGGAGTGTGGGAAGTAGGTAGACTCCCTAAAATGATCTAGCCCCTCACTAAACAAGTAAATAACAATAACAAGCCCTAGAAAATACACAAATATATGGAAGTTAAACAATATACTCCTAAATAACTAACTGAAAAAGAATTTAAGTTCAAGTAGTCACACTTCACAATAAGCAAGTCAAAACTTACTACAAAGCAACACTAATCAACATAGTGTGATATTGGCATAAGGATAGACATATGGATCAGTGGAATAGAATTCATAGTCCAGAAGGAAACCCATGTGTCTACGGTCAACTGATTTTTTTTAAGATTTATTTATTTATTTGACAGAGAGAGACACAGCGAGAGAGGGAACACAAGCAGGGGGAGTGGGAGAGGGAGAAGCAGGCTCCCCACCGAGCAGGGAGCCCGATGCGGGACTCGATCCCAGGACGCTGGGATCATGACCTGAGCCGAAGGCAGACGCTTAACAACTGAGCCACCCAGGCACCCCTATGGTCAACTGATTTTTACAAGGGTGCCAAGACCATGCAATGGGGAAAGAATAGTCTTCTCAACAAGTGGTGCTGAGACAACTGGATAGCCACATGCCAAAGAATAAAGTTGGAACCAGACATCACATACAAAAATTAACTCAAAATGGATCAAAGGCCTAAATATAAGAGCTAAAACTATAAAACTCTTAGAAGAAACCATAGAAAGCTTCATGACATTAAGGGGCACCTGGGTGGCTCAGTCAGTTAAGTGGCTGCCTTCAGCTCAGGTCATGATCCCAGGGTCCTGGGATCGAGCCCCACGTTGGGCTCCTTCCCCAGCGGGGAGCCTGCTTCTTCTTCTCCCTCTGCCTGCCGCTCCCCCTGCTTGTGCTCTCCCTCTCTCTATCTCTATCAAATAAATAAATAAAATCTTTAAAAACAAAAAAAAGAAAGCTTCATGACATTGGATTTGGTAATGATTTCTTGGCCATGACACCATGAGTAACATAAGATAAATTGGACCTCATCAAAGTAAAAGCTTTTGTGCATCAAAGGACACTGATAGCAGAGTGAATAGGCACCAAGATTGGGAGAAAATATGTGTAAATCATATGTCTGATAAGGGATTAATATCCAGAATATATAAAGAACTACAACAACAACTTCTTTTTAAAAAGATTTTATTTATTGGGGTGCCTGGGTGGCTCAGTCATTGGGCATCTGCCTTCGGCTCAGGTCATGATCCCAGGGTCCTGGGATCGAACCCCACATCAGGCTCCCTGCTCGGCGGGAAGCCTGCTTCTCCCTCTCCTATTCCCCCTGCTTGTGTTCCCTCTCTCACTGTCTCTCTCTCTGTCAAAAAATAAATAAAATCGGGCGCCTGGGTGGCTCAGTTGGTTGAGCGACTGCCTTCGGCTCAGGTCATGATCCTGGAGTCCCGGGATCGAGTCCCGCATCGGGCTCCCTGCTCGGCGGTGAATAAAATCTTTAAAAATAAATAAATAAATAAATAAATAAATAAAATCTTTAAAAAAAAAAAAAAAAGAGGGGCGCCTGGGTGACTCAGATGGTTAAAGGTCTGCCTTCAGCTCAGGTCACCATCCCAGGGTCCTGGGATCAAGCCCCACATCGGGCTCCCTGCTCCGCGGAAAGCCTGCTTCTCCCTCTCCCTCTGCTGCTCCCCCTGCTTCTGCTCTTACCCTCTCTCTTTCTCTGAAATAAATAAATAAAATCTTTTTAAAAAAAAGACAAATAGCCCAATAAGATCCCTGGCTAAGGGATCTGAGAAGACATTTCTTCATAGAGTTATACAAATGGCCAATAGATACATGAAAACATGCTTGATCATTGGTCACCGGGGACCATGCAAATTAAAACAGACTCAAGGGGTGCCTGGCTGGCTCAGTTGGTAGAGCACATGATTCTTGATCTCAAGGTTGTGAATTCAAGCCCCATGTTGGGTGTGGAGCCTACTTAAAAAAAAAAAAAAAAAAAACCAGACTCAAGTTACTTTACACCCCACTAGGATGGCTATAATCAAAAAGTCAGATAATAACAAGTCTTAGCAAGGAGAAATCAAAACCCTCATATACTGCTGGTGAGGATGTAAAATGGTGCAGCCACTATGGAAACCACTTCAGCAGTTCCTTAAACAGTTAAACAAAGAGCTACTATATGACCCAGCTATTCCATTAATTGGAATGTGATAAATCCCTTGCACTCATTACAGTTTTATGCAAGAAGAATAAAAACATATGTCCACAGAAAAACTTGTACACAAATGTCCATAACAGCATTATACATAGTAGCTAGAGAACAGAAATGACCCAAATGCCCATCACCTGATGAATGGGTAAATAAATGTGATGTGGCATATCCATACAATGAAATAGTATTTGGCAATAAAAAGGAATGAACTACTCCTACACAGTACTACATGGAAGAACCTTGACAACATGCTAAGTGAAAGAAGCCAGGTACAAGAGACCACATGTTACATGATTCCACTTACATGAAATGTCCAGAATAGGCAAATCTATAGAGAGAGAAAGTAGATTTGTGGTTGCTTATGCTAGGGGTGGGGAGGTGGAAAGGGACTGGGGGGGCGGTGATAGCTAAAGGATATGGGGTTACTTTCAAGGTGATGAAAATGTTATGAAATTGACTGTTGGCGTTACACAGATCTGTGAATATAGTAGAAACCATTGAATTGTCTGCTTTAAACAGGTGACTTTTATGGTATGTGAATTATACCTAATAAAGCTGTTCTTTTATAAAATCAAGTTCAAGACCTAAACAAGAAATTAAAAGGGGTGAGATCTCGCCTGATAGCGAGAGCAGAACTGTGTAAAGGAGCTCCACCGTGAAAGGGAGAGAGAGCCCCTGGAAGACGGATGAGGGGTTGACGGGAGGGGTTTTAGTGTTCAAGAGCCTGGGTCCAGAGCACAGGAGCCAGGAGGGCTTAACCACAGGCGGCAGATAGAACCTCATTCTAGAGCAGAGGTTCTCAAACTTCACAGTGGGAGGGTAGGTAGGAGCCTAACTGAGGTGGGCACCTTATTCCAAGTTGCAAAAAGACGTCGTGTCATAAAGATGGGAGAAGTTTGTTTTTCCTTGGCATAAAGCCTGTTAGCTAACATGGATGGTGACCCCAATTACCAGGTAAAGTTGGGATGAGCTACGTGTGACAAATGGTGCTGTCAAGTCCCCTTCCCTGAGGACTAGTTACCATTTATCTTTTTATTTATTTATTTTTTAGATTTATTTATTTGAGAGGGAGAGAGCTCGAGATCACGGGGAGGGAGAAATAGACTTCCTGCTGAGCAGGGAGGACCCCCCCCCCCACCAACGTGGGGCTGGATCCCAGGACCCTTGGATCATGACCTGAGCTGAAGGCAGCTTCTTAACCCACTGAGCCGCCCAGGCACCCCTAGTTATTGGACAGGTGTGTAATGGGTTCTGGCGGCTTGGCTAAGTAAGGGAGGGAGATTCTCTTCTGCCTTTGCAATCTCAGCCATTGCCTGTGATGTGCATCCCATTCTGGTTTGTGCTTATTCAATAACAAAAGTGCTTCCTTTCTCTACTACCTTTGTCAGGAAAAGCTCGTAGATCTTTGTGGAGAGGGTTTCTGGATTGGAAGAAAATTTTGTTTTTTGTTTTAATTTTTTTTTTTTTAAAGATTTTATTTATTTATTTGAGAGAGAGAATGAGATAGAGAGCATGAGAGGGAAGAGGGTCAGAGGGAGAAGCAGACTCCCTGCTGATCAGGGAGCCCGACGTGGGACTCGATCCCGGGACTCCAGGATCATGACCTGAGCCAAAGGCAGTCGCTTAACCAACTGAGCCACCCAGGCGCCCGAAAATTTTGTTTTTTAAGATTTTTTTTTTTTTAATTTGACAGAGAGATAGAGAGCACAAGTAGGCAGAGTGGCAGGCAGAGGGAGAGGGAGAAGCAGGCTCTCTGCTGAGCAGGGAGCCGGACCTGGGGCTCGATTCCAGGACCTCAGGATCATGACCTAAGCCGAAGGCAGCCGCTTAACCGACTGAGCCACCCAGGCGCCCCCAAAATTTTGTTTTTTAAACAATTCTCAAGCTTGAATCTGCTCTTCTGGGGTGCGCCCTTCTCCCAACGCAAGCTGCTTCGTGGCGCTCTTTTCCACACTCAGCTTTCTCTTCCTTCACCTGCAGGAGTTTGAAGACCACACTTCTCCTGCGGGGAGTTTCCTCCCAGCCGCGGGCTTGGGCTGGCTCCTAGCACGTGGGCCCTTAGGCAAACTGCCCCTTTAAGAGCACCCCCACCCCAGCTCCTCCCTCAGGCCCGTGGCCGGATTTCCCCATGCGGGCCCCACCCTTTAAAGCCACGGCTCCATCTTTCTGGCTGGCCGTGTACACAAACCGGAGGACCCAGAGGGCCCTGAGTGCTGAGAGTGGGCACAAGTGGGCTGTGACAGGTGCATGTGGGGAGTGGAACCACCACCCGGGGCTCAGGAGGGACCCGGAGCTGGGACAGGGAGGATCCTGGGATGAAGCAGAGCCACTCACTCGGGAGTGGGTTGGACACGGCGCTCTTTGGGCAGCCTGTGTGTGCCAGGCACCGTGTCAGGCCCTTTCTGTAGCTTCTGCTGGGCTATTATTATTCCCATTTTACAGATAGGGCAACGGAGCCTGGAGCAGCTAGCTACTTACCCAGGGCCCTACAGCTAACCAAGTGGCAGAGCCAGGGTCCGAACTCAGGTCAGTGGGACTCCAAAGCCTTGATGTCCTCTCCTCTGCATCACCTGCCTGACGGGTCCTGGCTTCCTCCCAGACTTCCTTTTTCCTTGGTTTCTTGTGTGGCAGAGTGGGGTTAAGGGGGGTGGGGAGAAATGGGTTATCCTCTCCTTCCCCCAGTTCCAGGACTTGGGTCCCTTCCTCCTCCCAGGAGCTGCTTGGAGATGCTGCTTCCCCTTCTCCTCCTCTTCCTCCTGCTGATGCTGCTGCCGGCCCTGGCCATCCTCCGGCAGCGGCAGCCCCAGGATGCCCGGCTGTCCTGGCGTGCTGGCCTCCAGCACCGTGTGGCAGGGGGGGCCCTAAGCTGGGCAGCTGCGTGGCAGCAGTGGAGACTAGAGCAGAGCACCCAGCGCGCAGGCCGGAGCCAGCAGCAGGCCCTGAGGTGGTGTCTGCAAGGAGCCCAAAGACCCCACGTTCCCCTCCGGAGGACCACAGGTGTGTTTCCAAGGGTCTGGGGAGGCGGCCCAAGCAGAAAAGCCACAGGAAGTCAGATTCCAGAACCTGAGGACTTCCCTTCTCCCCTTCTACTGCCAGCCCAGAGGGGCCCGACCCAAAGACCCTACCCAGGCTCAAGGTTGTTCAAGATGCATGTTCCATTCCTCGGCCCCAGTAGCCTTGCCCCAGGCCTATGCTGGGTTCCCTCCTCAAGGGTCTTACCAATCTTGCCTGAAACTCTTGGGCAACTTTGGCTTCAGGACAAGTTTATGATGTCTTTGGGGCTACAGATACAAGCACCTTCCGGAACCATCTCCCTCTGACCAAGGCCAGCCAGGCCCAGGAGGAAGAAAGTGGGGGGCAGCTCCTGCCCCCTATGTCAACCCAGTACTACGGGGAGGCCTCCCTGCAGGTAAACTGAGAAGGCTGGTATCTAGCTCCACCAGAGACCCCTACTTGCAGCCCAACCCTCCCACTGGGGTGGGCAAAGAACCCCCAACCTGGGGGCTCAGAGACTGGCTCAGGCCCAGGGCCGACACCCGCTCTTGTCTCCCCCCCAGGCCACCTTGCTGGGTCTGGCAGCCCTAAGCAAGGCCTACCCAGAAGTGCTGGCTCCGGGAGGCATGGCCTGTGTGACCCCTACATCCCCCTGGCCTCACCCTCTCCCCTGGCCTTGGCATGCCCTGGGCCAGGGTGTTAGGGCCCCTGGAGCCAAGCACCCTGGGGCCCTGCTGCTAGAGGCACTGAGGTCCCCAGAGCTGCGGGCACTGGAAGCTGGGACGGCCGCTGAACTCCTGGACGTCTTTTCGGGCCTGGAGGCCGATGGTGAAGAGCTGGCTGAAGCAATGGCTGCCGGGAACCCAGGGCCACCTCTCCCCAGGCGGGCGGCGGAGCTGCGGGAAGCCCTAGAGCTGGGGCCCCGAGGACTGGCCCTCCGACTCTGGCCAAAGCTACAGGTGGTGGTGACTCTGGACGCAGGAGGCCAGGCTGAGGCTGTGGCTGCCCTGGGGGCCTTGTGGTGCCAAGGGCTAACCTTCTTCTCGCCCGCTTACGCCGCCTCTGGAGGTCAGCAGGACTCAGGGCCAGTGAGCTGGGGGCAGGGGTCAGAGGCCGCACAGCTAACCTGCCAAGTAGTGAGCCCTACACAGTCACCTCATTTAATCCCCCCAACACCAGCAGCTCCATTTTTTTTTTTTTTTAAAGATTTTATTTATTTATTTGAGAGAGAGAGAATGAGAGACAGAGAGCATGA